AAAAAAGAAAATAAGCATTTTCCAAAGAAAACTCTTTTAACGAGCAAAATTATTTTTTTTGAGTAATCATATTTCAAGTAACCCGATTAATCATCGTTTTGAGTAATCAAAATCTTGATTACTGGAGTAATTGATTAACCCAATAATTGATTAACCAACTTGCTCGAGTAATCAATTAATCGCACAGCCCTAATTTGTAGGCATTTATCAAAAATTGTCTTTTTTCTGTTTAGTCGCCGTAAAGCAAGGACCGCAATCGTTCTGGTGATTGATTTAACGGTGGTAATTTAACTTTGATCCTTGTTGTCACCGATTGACTTCACTTGACGATTTTTACCAATAACTCGACTCCAGCGCCCCATTGCAGCTTTTTTTGTGCAATAGTAGATATTTTCCCTACCGTTACCAATAAATTTACATATATATCGAATATGAGCCAAATCGGAAAATGGGCCAAATCGGGCAAATCGAATTTAGTTTTGGAACTCACCCGCGATGCAAAATTACATCGTTAGATTTAATCTTCACATTTTTATATGAGCTTTGGGAATATGTTAGAAATGAGCATCAGGGGGTCCACCGAAACGAGTAAAGTTTTGAAACGGGGCTACGAGAAAAATAAGTTTGGTAGACTCTGGTATACTATGTAATATACCTCTGCAATTTTGTAAGATGAACTAAAAATGTATACATCGTTTTAAGCTGTAATTACTTAAGAAGTAAACGTCTTGGCTGTTCACCAAACCACTCTATAGTTTTATCAATAATCTCAGATTGGTTCTCTCATACAAACTTTCGATGTACACTCAGAAGACACAAACGTAATGACAAAGTAATAAACAATTGAACTATAAATTTAATTATTAGTTTACCGTTCAATCCATTTTCGCTCATTGTCGAATACATCCAGGTTTTTACCCTTCTTAAATGGAATTACTTTGAAGTTAGCTAGAATAACTTGAAACAGAACCGGATAATCCACACATTCACATTTTTTATTATGAAAATTTACAAATTATTTTGTTAGCATTAAGTGTATGGTTTTATATATAGTATATACATGGGAAAAACCTTTAAAGTTAGGGGGGGCCCAAATGATCGAGCTAGCATTTCCATTTTGAATATATAGGAAAAATTCGGAATTTATGGGGGGGGGGGGGGGGGGGAAAGGGCCAGCCCCCACCTGGCTACGCCCATGGACGCATATGACGCGGCAGATAAGTTTCTGCTTCTTATTTTATGTCAAATGCATACATACTGACAAATTTTTAATATCGCTGCCGTATTAAAAAAAATCATGTCACAATGTCTTATTTCAAAAAAATTTTCGTTTTTCGTTTCCAGTTTAATGGCATGATTGATTTTTATTCATATACATATATATATATATATATATATATATTTACATACATTCACAGTTGATGAAGATCGCCAACACATTGCTCGGTGACAAGTTGTTTACAATGCTGATGAAGGCTACGTTCTATGGGCATTTCGTAGCTGGTGAAGATCAAGTCAAAATCATCCCAACACTAGAAAGGTAAATTTTTAACCGAAAAAACTAACAAATGCTTTTTTTTATTTTTCATATCTACCAAACCCGCATTCATGCTGCAACGATGATCGCGCGCTCTTGGCAACGCTAAACCTCATTACATCTGTGCTTAAATACTTACATATGCTTAAATATGCTACATAATACTTCAACTATTCGCTTCCAACTCTTGCGCAACTGCTGCTCCTTTCCGCAGATAATGAAAATCACTCGCGCTTTAATAGGGGATCGCCTCTTTGCGCTACTGATGAAATCTACATTTTACGGCCACTTTGTGGCGGGTGAAAACCGACATACTATTGTTCCAACACTAGAAAGGTTCCTATGCATATTCAATGACATACATACATAGATAACTCTTAAGCTGTAGCTAACAAAATAAACACATGAGGCATATTGTATGTACATAAATAATGTGTATAAAGTTAGCGAAACAACATGAAGAAAAAAATGTCGCATATACCCCAAAATAATTTTGTCGTTCTTGTATTTTTTTTAGATATAAGGTGTTTTGCTAACTTTATATAAAGCATCCCTCCAACTCAAATATAAAAGACTAGGCTTTATATCCTAATTTGCCGTTCCAATATGAGCTAGTTTACTTAAAAAAAAATAACTTGAAAAAAAAAATAAAAAATTTGTTGGGACATTTTGGGAAGAAAAGAATAATAGTCAAATAAAACAGCAAACCCGGTTGCTTTATATACCACTTTTAAACAAACAATAATGACAATGGTTAAAATTCCAAAAAATTAAGAAGCACCCTTACACTGAAAATAAAATCTGCGTAAATATAACGAAAACTTTGCGTACATTTTACGAAAGTTTTCGTCATTTTGAGCCACGAAAGTTTTCGTTGATTGTACAAAACCGTTTTCGTACATACTACGAAAATATGAGACATCAGATCTTTGTACATTTTACGAACGTATTCGTACTATTTACGAACGAATTTCATACTACTTACTAAAGAATTTCGTACTATTTCTTTATTTTTTTACGAAATTTTTGTAAAATGCACAAAATAGTTCGTATATTTAACGAAATTATTTTCCTAAAATCTGCGGTTGTTTCGTAGAACTTCCGATTGCTTTCATTCACCACACTGTAAAAAACATAAGACGAATTATAACACAACACTTTTATTTTGTTTTTATTCCTAATTTTAAGCGTTTTTCTTTAACAAAATGTTTTGCAATGTTTTTATGTGGAGGCACTTGGCATATTCGCAGCTTCTTCGATGTTTGTTTCCTTTCTCGACTATAAATTTAAGGAAAATTATAAGGCGTCTGAAAGGCAAGTTTCAGTGAAAAATCATACATGTACTTACTTAAAATTTCATTAAGTAGTGAGTCTGTTCCTGGCTTGGGCTTGCCGTTGATAGCTAACTGATGAAATTGACTATTTATGAAGTCCCACATTGCAGAGCAAGGCTCAGCGTGGGCGTTGTTAAAAACATTGTATGCTTAAAAGCATTTATCCACAGCTTTAACATTTAATTTTATATTGTATTTTTATCTAGCAAAAGCTTCTTAAAACTTTTAAAATTATATTATACGTCTCACAGTAGCCAACCAGTAGTTTCGCAATGACACGCGGTACATAAAAATATGATTAAATATTAAACTGACGGTAATTTAGTATATTGTACGAAAATATTCATCTGTTCTACGAATTACGAATTACGAATTAAAAAAAAAATGTTTGCATTTGTTCTATGTACGAAAGTATTAAGTAAACTGTTCCAATACAGAATTGTAGATTTCGTAAATTTTAAAACCATACGTAAATATTACGAATGCCTTCGTACAATATTCCAAATTTTTCGTACAGAGATTTGTTCAGTAATTTACGAATGTATTTCGTAAAATAAACGTAAGATTTCGTAAATTGTACTGAAAAAAGGTTTTACGAAAGTCCTTTCGTTATATTTACGAATGGTTCGTAAAATCTTGTTTCGTTGTGAAAAATGTGTTCGTATTATAAACGAAAATTTCGTACATTGTACAAAAACCAAGATTACGAAATTTTTTCGTAGCACTTTTACGAAATTTTATTTTCAGTGTATCAAGTTCAAAGTGTTCAAGATTCATTAAAAATTGGTATCTTATTTTTATCACGCTTTCGCCATCTGCATAATCTTCGCCCCAAATAACAATTACCTATTATGTATTATGGAACGAATTTCCGTCATCCCTTGTCAAATTTGGTTTGGAGACAAATCGGTTTCGGCGTTGTGCCATCTTCAGTGTCATTTTTCGTTCTGCATAATTTTTGTTGGTTGCTCGTATTTATACTCCTTGTTATCTACCTCTTTCTTTTGTTAGATACGTCTTTTTAGTTTTGCAGTGTTTGCGTTACTCAATAGGTAGATGAATTGTTTTGGCTCGTTTTTGACGGCAGGTAGATTGATTTTTACCCCCTTTGTTTTTGCAGTTGGTGTATTCCCTTCCATATCTGTCCTTAATATTTTGTTGTTGTCATTCTTCTTCTTGTACAGTAGTTTTAGAGGTTCAAACAG